TGAAGAACAAATCAAATGGCTTGAATCAAATCCAATGGCTGAAGTTGATGAATTAAAAGAACATAAAAAACAACTTGAAGAAGTTGTAACACCAATTATGACAAAATTATATGGACAAGGTGGTGGTGCCGGTGGTGCTGGTGATGTTCCACCACATTCTTCACATGGACATGATGATGATAGTTTATAAAAATAAAAAAAGAAAACACTTGGTGAATGTAAAGATAGGAGGAGGTCAGATTCTTCTATATTTATGATACGCTTGTTATGTCCATTCCAGTCTTTTTTTCGCATTGTATCACAAAAATTATTGAGTATCAACGTGCTTTTTGTTTATTCACTTGTTTTTTTCTTCTGTTCAGCTGTCGATTGTGCTCGATTGATATTTTTTGTTTATTATTAGTATATAAAACGTACGTGTTTTTGTTTGGTTTTAATATATTGGACCAGAGAGAAATGTAAAAGAAATTCTTGTTGATTTTGTTTTATGAGGATGGAAAAGAAGCTGACAGTAATAGATTATCACGTTGAACTATCATGCTGTCGGGAAAGAAAGAGTCATGAGTATTTTGGTGAATAGTTTTGAATAACAGCAAAATAGAGAGTTGCGGTTTTCGTCATTACTAAGCAATGAACCAGTCGCAAAGATTCGGACTGAAATTTGATTGGCCAGTGATTAAGCAATCAAGTTAGTTCTTAGTACAAGTTTATGAAAATGAAATCTTAATACTTTTCCCTTTCTATCTCTACAAGATGAATACATTGCTGATTTGTTATGTGCAAGAGTCATAAGGATTTTATTGAGACCTTTAATCTCAGCAAATTGATCTGGGATCACCCGAAAAAGCATCTAGACAGAGGTACTTTTACATCTTGAGTCGAATAGCAATATGTATTTTTAAATTTAAAATGATCCGACACTGTTTTTCTGCTATGTAGACTTATTTTTCTACACGGAGATCAATTGTGAAATCTTGGAAATGCTGAAATAACACTGTTAGGTCATTTCAAATTCAAAGACAAATATCGCCATTCAAGTCAGCGTGATGAATTACCGCTACTTATAATGCTACGCGAGATATTCCAGATCAATTGGCTGCACATGGAAGTCTCAAGAGAATTCCTAATTAGTCTTGAACAGAACATGTTACCAATGTAGACCATACGTAGATCAAAAATGAACAATTTTTTCGTATTTATGGATCATATTAACAATCAAAGTCAGCTGAGAAATGGATTTTGAATATCGTTTCCGAAATTTTCGGCAAGGATTGATCTGATTGGTACCGTGTTGGTCAATCAAATTTCAGCGTGTAATTATGAGCCTAGATCTTTTTGTAACAGTGAAAACTGCAGTTCTCTGTCTTGTTCCTATCAAAAGCTATTCATAAAACACTCATGGCTCTTTTCTATGCGAGAAACCTGATGGATAGTAAAAGAAGAATACTAGAAGATCATATTAATCTACAGGTAATAAAGTTCTTATTAGTTTTTATCTAATAATGCACTTTTAAAATCGAAAATCATTTTAAAGAGAAAACTGAACTTTCAAGCATAAATATAATTAAACAAGTTCTAATGTAATTTGTTATAACTGTCTTGCAATATTGTATACAGCAAAAGAAAGAGTAACAACCTGATATAAATAGAGAGAAGATGGACAAAACAATAATTCATACAAATGGCAGATTATAAATATTGTGCATAGTATTTGCTGGAAATCAATTTATAAGAATAAAGATCAGAGATACAACTGATCACAGGAAATAGACGATAAAGAATGTCTTTTAATTAATGCTGGATATCATTAGATTCAAAAGGACTCTTCGCGAACAATAACGAGAAACTGAAAAAAACCTGTAACCTTAGAGCTTTCATAGTCTCCATATGTTCATTAGGCAACAATAGCATTGGTTCTCGAGTACTTCCAAATGAAGAATATTGTTAGATAATAATATACACACAGATGATTGCAAACAATTTGTATACTTTGTTCTACCAATACCATTTTATATGTAGTTGTTCATTTTTAGAAGAAATAGAAAACAAAGAGAGATCATGTTTTTTTCCTATGGACATTACACAAATTGCTTGCAACTGAAATTCCAACATTTTCATTGGAAAAACGTTGATGTTTGTAAATGTCTTTTCTCGATATTATTTTTAATCAAGGAAAATTTTGTCGATGTCGGCAGCCAATCTTTTACCTAGATAGTCTATTATTTGTCGTATATCAGTGTTGATGCATTGCTCAACGGTACAATAATTTGCTTTAATTTGTTAATCTTATATAATAGATAGTTCTTGATAGAACACTCTTTTTACAATGAATAATACAACTAGATTTTACTGCTATGTTTCAATAACATTATACTGATGCGTAACAGATTTTTTAGAGAAAAAGACAACAATATAACTATCAAAACAAAACGAAAACCTGCAGTTTTCTATCACTCTTATTTAGTCTAACTATAGAAGATTTATCTATAATTGCATGCTTCAATGTTGTCACGTCATTTATATAACACCGGGTATTCTAATCGACACGATAAGGCGAACTAATCGTTTGTTTTGACCGGACTTATGTCATGAGTACTTCATTCAAACCTATTTATAGACTAAAAACGCGACTTTAAAAAGAGAGTATTATAGATATGTCAGAAAAATGATGCATAAATCTCACATATCCGTTCATTAGTATCGTTGATCTTCACTTTGCATTTGCATGTCAGTTGATGTTTTCATGACATGTTTGTTTCCTCAATCCTGAAATTCAGAAGAAAGAAGAGATAAAATTTCATGTGACTCGCACAAAGAGAGTTGTAGTAATGATTGAATATAGTTTTATTCTTTACCTCATGCAGTGATGTCATCATGTATGCACTGCTGGACCAATAGGATTCAGACTTGTGAAAATTTCATCAGAGAATCGAGAAAATTGACGTATACGTTACCTCAGCATTCATTTTGACTGAACAACGATACCAAATAAATAGCAACCATTTACAATAATGATTTTATTGATTGTCAAATTTAAGTTCAACAAACATGAAGCTATTCACTACTTTCATTTTTATTGCTGCTGTTGCATCTGTTGCTTTTACATTTACTTTCGTTGCTGAAGAAATACAGAAAGGTAAGTTTTCATTATATACGGAATAAAAACTTAGTTCGTTTTATTCAATTAGATGGTGGAACTGTGATTGGTATTGATCTTGGAACAACATATTCATGTGTTGGTATTTTCAAGAATGGTCAAATAGAAATTATTGCTAATGATCAAGGTAATCGAATTACGCCATCTTATGTAGCATTTACATCTGACGGTGAACGATTAATTGGTGATGCAGCTAAAAATCAATTGACATCAAATCCAGAAAGTATGTTTAGCTTTTTTATTATTGAATTTATATTTCTATGTAATAATAAATATGTTTAGATACTGT